AAGTTCGTTATAAACGGAAAGTGAATATACAACTAACCTAAAAAGTGATCGGTATATCCGGAAGTTCGTTATAAACGGGTTCGTTATAACCAGTAGAAAAATACGTCGGTCTTTTCCAAACTCCAAAACATCTTTCGATCACGTTTCCTGTTCGGATATGGTACTTATTGTATAGCCTTTCCGCTCTTGTTGCAGGATTAACTAAAGGGGCTAACAAATAGGATGTAAGACCATAGCCACTGTCACCCGTAATAAAAAAAATCAAGAAAATATACTAAACGGTCCCTAATCGGGCGCTAACCAGCCAAAAAGCGCCGGTTAATATAGCCGTTGTTTAGAATACACAAAACAGTGGTTAAGCGACGGTGCAACACATTCTTCGAACTAAACCACGATTAAATTTTTAATCACCGTTTAGTCAAACGGTGCAACCGGGCATTAAATGTCTAGAAGTAAAGCAAAATGTATCATTTAGGCAGGGCGACTGCAGTGGCCTATCTGGCACCGTCCGTAACAAGTTTTACCAACTACAATCCAGCGTTCCGCATTTACTACGTGGATGGCGATCATGAGAATACCACAAGGGTAAATTTGCGCGAAGAATTTGCTACAAATTTTCATCTTCGTTCACTGTTTAGGAAGTTTTGGAGCACGAAACGTGGACGTTCGATTTAGACACCGCAAATCTGCCAGGCAACGAACCCAATTGGTTCAAGTCGTACTCTGCTACCGATGAGTTTCAACTGAACAGCTTGAGGCCGAACGAGTGGAACAATTTAATCGAAAGAATGATCCAAGATGACGAACTGTTTCACAGGTTTTACCGGTAAGATGGATTTTAGCCCCTAATTGAATGAGCAACTGGCCGATTTCAGGAAAATAACAATTTTGCTACAAAATGTGCCATTTTTTTTGCTAGTGCTGCTTTAATTAGTGCGTTTTGGTAAATATCTGGAATTTTTTGCAGGAATTATTATAGGCATTCCCCAACAGCTCCGCCGTGCGACTCAAAGTGCAAGCTGCAAATTTTGTGCGATTTAAAATCGGCCAAATCGCACACGAAACACCAACTTTGCCATGAGCTCGAAACTGCCTTTCAAATGTGATTTTTTAATATATTTTTTCCAGAAGCGGGTGTTTCGATTATTGCATCAAGTGACAAGGTTTCTAATGCCCCACGAGAACGGCCTCATTTTGTATTTTCGGAAACTTCTGATTTTTAATTAGCCAGAACAGAGCAGAGAATCTAAGATTATTTTATTGTTTTGCATTCGGTATTATTGGTGATTGTCACTAATTTAATTATTGCTTTCGTTATTATTAAACTATTTGTATTTAATATGTCGCCTTAACTAAACTGTCTTTAGCTGCATACCTATTTTAGATGCAATTCCAGTTTTTCGGAGCAATTCTAGTTTTGTTTGGACACTTTTAATGAGTGAGGACTAGGAGTGATTAATTAATTAATTTATTAGGAGATAGATAGAGAAACTAATGGGTTTTTCGGGTTTTTAGGCGGTTGTTCGGTAGAATTTCCTCCTGGCGTTTCGCAAGCACGAGCAGGCGTGCATCTTCAGAAGTGGTTTGCTTGAACAGTGTTCGGGATGGGAAACGTCAGGAAAATCCATTAGGTTCATTAATTAATGTGTTGCATTTTACGTTTTAGTAATATGGACGATTCGTTCGGTTCTATAAAAAGGAAAAATAAAATAAAATAAAAATAAAAAAAAAGGCAGCTTAAAAATCGAGCTAGAATTTGACGGCAAAATGTTCCCAAAAATGGGTTATTTTAGCATGGACTTCTGGTCGCATCTTTTCTCCAAACTAAAAAAAATTGACACTCAGGCATAAATGTAATCTGAAAAAATCTGAAAATTTATGAACGATTGGTGCTCAATTTAAGAACACTTAGAAAAATGTTATCAATCTTGTCAATTTTTGACGAAGCACGGAATTTCGTGTGATTTTCCCGGCGAGCGAATTGAAATAAAACTGCAGGTTTTTCAAAAGTGTTCACTTTCAGAGTGAAATCCGACTTGAATCAGAGAATGAAGTGAATACTTTGGCGAGTTTATTAAAGATAAAAGTTATCTATCGATGCAGGACAGTACTGTTTGCTCTGCTGAGTAATTCGATGATAAAAATATGTACGTTCAACCAACAGGAAACATAAATGGATTCAAACAGTAGACGTGAATCTTTGCAGAGTTTAGGCTGCTAATCGACTAAGTGCTAAGTAAAGCGTTCAATTTTTAGCCCAAATCTGGTCCCAAAACAGTAGTGTATTTTTCAAGGTGACAAACAAGTGAGTGCAGCCAAACATCAATTTGCATTAACTTTTTTTACAAACTTCTTGTTGGGTATTTTGCCTCAAAAATGTTTGTCTTTAAACAAGACAGAATTTCCTCACGT